AACGAGTCCTGAATGACGTCAAATCTGTGAATACTACCGTAAATACGTGAAAGGACTTCAGTGTACGTCGGAGAGAGCATGTCGTACGCGGTCGTCACATCGAAATGATTCATGAGCCGCCGCGAAGACGTACGATCTAAGAGGGATCCACGGCTGTGTCCTCGCGCCAGCGGAGGTAACCCGCTTTCAAGGGCAAAACGATAGCATCGCAACCCAAGTTTAAATTGGAGGGTCGGCCGCTTAAGATTCAGTTCTATAAACTTGAAAGTTTAGTCCCACTTCCAAGATGGAAGGCAAATCGAGGGAGGCCGAACGCGAGAAAGGAAGGGTGGGTCACGAGAGAGGAAGGAACAGCGAACTTCCGAAGACGAGGCTTACGAAAGCTTGACGCTGCAATTAGGCAAGCATTTTCGATTGAATTCAATTAGCCGCCTCCGTGGCCTCGTTGCGAATCCGGATTGCCTCGGCAGAGTGACTTCTGCGCGCGCGGCGGAACTTGGCTTGTATTGTATTCCCAACGTTTCCCAAAGTATACGGGAATTGCAAATGGAGACCATCTCGTTAGCATTTCTCGCGAGGCATCTAAGTACATCCCCGCTTCATTTTATTACTATTATTAGACATTCCTGCCCAAAGAGGGTAACCTGACCATGTCCCACGCGACTTCTTTTATTGCGCGCGTTTTATATTCATTCGTTATAATATTCTGCGGTGAAAAATAAGACATCTGCATAATTTATGTATGGGTAACTTGTTGCAGAATCATCCATTAATTCCATTATAAAGGCTAGCTGAAAAAATATTTACTTAGAAAAAAAGTTAAGTCCTAAATAATATGAGAGTCATAAACGAATCACAATTAGTTTTCAGAAGACAATTTTGAAATAAATTTTTTCGTAATTGTGTAAGAAAACAGTAAAAACATTTTTTTTTAATAATTGCTAATTTAAATATTTTGTTGCACATTTTATGCTTTATCATCTTTTTCCTTTATGTTGTTTATTACGTAAATTTTGTTCATTACGTAGATTTTAAATAATTATATTTTTATTATAGTTTTATATATATATATATTTTTCCTGAATGTAAAGACAAGATATGTTATTGGAAGCAAACATGGGTTCTCATCTAAAACTTGATACATTCCCATTTTTAGCCAGAAGCGAAATATCGATGAAACATGTCGCATTATGAATAAATGTAGCGTACACGAGGCATCTCGCTTAATTGGACACGACTCGTTTTGAATGAAAAGCCCGAGAATGGCGCGCGGCACCCACGTCGGGACCATCCTCTTCGTTACGTCCGACATGTTTTTCATCGATGACGGATATATCGGGGTCTCGGATGTTCGTCCTCGAGCAGAATTTTGTAGTGAAAAGAAAAAAAATATCCACGGAACTTGACGAATAATAATTAAAATTGTCGAAACGAACGCCGGGGAACGATCCGGTTAGCGATCGGAAAATTAAATCTTCATGTCGCATCTGTGCGAGCAACTTGCATCCGGTGCATGCTACTCGCGAACGCGTGTAAATCATTCGCAACGTGCATTCGAAACCACAGTGTACACGCATTTCCGCGCGGCACTTACGCATTGCGAGACGCGCCGCAACGAGAAGCCGCGACGATGCACGTGTTAACGTCACGCCGGTAAATGCGTCGGCGACACGTGTCGCACATGTAATCCATGGGCCCGTCGTTGCCTCGACTGTATGTCATGAACACCATTGACATGTTCTACAGAGTGTTCCCGGATTAATCGCTATCTCCTTGAACGGTACGCTCTTTAACCGACACAGACTGGATCTTTGTTTAAGCTAAACTTGTTAGAGTTAGAATAATGTTTAATACGAGTATAAGTTTCATCAATTAATCGTATATCTTTATCAGTGTTACAAATGTAATAACACTACTTTTGCTACTAATTAATCTTTGAATTACATTTTAGCTAAAATTGTGATTAAATAACAAATAAGATATTAATTTCAAATCTTTTGAAAATGTGGAGTTAATTTGAATAATTTTGATATTCACAAAGACAGTAATTTAAATTTTCATAATTAAATACCGAATTAGTTACGTTGTATGTAAATTCTTCATTAATATTGTAATAGCTATTTCGTTAACTGTTTCCAATTTTAATAAATATCAAACAAATATTTGTTTCGAACATTAAAAGATTTATAAACAAATTCATCATATCGACAATTTCTAATATCTTAATTTTCTTCTAGGAAATAGCAGTGCACGCTTACGTACGCCCATTACGGAGGACAAACAAAACGGAGGTTTTAGCTCCATTTCAAACAGTACGACGATAAGTAAACGTAAGTGAGGAGAGTCCCTTTAATATGAAAAGACGTCGACAGCACAAATCATTCCGCGAACAGCAATCCGTCATCGCTTCGCTTAATAATAACACGCCCCGTCATCGATTCCATTCCAACGCGGCCAATCATTCGAATCGAGGTTTTGAATTGCGAGAGGTCTGACTCGCGTCGACCTTCGAGCGAAACGTCGTGTTACGCCGAAAGTAACCCGCCCGGAAATTGTTAAAATTGTGCACACGCCGGCTGGCCGATAACATCCCGATCTCGCACTTCACGGTGCAAATTTGATTTTCGCACGAGGCGTCACAGTCGCTACATCGTTTACGTTTCACGCCACACAGATTCACTTGCGAAAGAAGGCCGGACCGGCTTTGCACGCAACATCACCATGGCGTGAGTTATACACGATACAAAGAGTCAAAATTCTGTGTTAGGTAATGCACAACAAATTTTCAAAATATATGACGAATTTATTTGTATTTTAATTAATTTCCTTAATTTAGAAACCTTTGCATTTAAAGAAATAAATAAACAGTAAAAAGAAAATTTTTTTATATTTTATGTAAAAAGAAAATATTTTTCGATACTTAACATATTTATAATAGAATCACAAGATACATGTAACATAACATATCATAGTCAAGATTAATTTATCTGAAATTTATCAAGATCAATTTATATAAAATTAAATTACAGTACAGCAGCGTATAGCTACATTAAAAAGAAGTGCCTGGTAATAGCTACCAAATGTTGAATGAAATAAATTTCAACCAAATGTTCTGTTAATATAAAATAATGTTATCTTTCTATATATAAATATTTAGTAATTATTACCAAATAGTTGGTCATGTTATTATATTTGGTAGTACTTATTAATTTTAAAAAAATAAAATTATTTTATTTATATTAACCAAATATTTACATGAATTTGTTTTACTCAACATTTAAAAGCCACGAGATTCTTTTTTTTTCAATGTATATTCTGCATGTTAAAATTGTAATTTAACTATCTAGCTTATATATTGAAAATCGCGGTTGTGATTATTTGATATAACCATCAGATTGCATGTCGAGATGCACGTCTGGTTTACATCGAGGATTATATCGGTATATTGATATGCGCGTAATACGTAGCAGCTAAACGCGTATCCGTCGACCGGAAATCGTTAAAATTACACGGCCACCAGGTGGCCAATAGGTAAAATATAGCACTTCTGAAAAAAGCACTTCATGAGTGAGATCAAGACCTATTCTGATCGCGAATAGAGAAATTGTTTGAACAATAAAATAATAATATGAATATTACATTTAGTTTTTATCTCTGTTTTCACTAATATTTCATATATTTACAATATATAATACTACCAATACATACACACACACACGCGCGCGCGCGCACGCACAAAGATAAATATCAGGTAATGAAATATCAGAAATATTTTATTAAAATATTATGAATTGCCGCAGCTTTTTTCATTAACCTTCAACATTCAAATCCTATTTTCAAGCAATAGCTTAAAAGATAGTTGCACAATTAAGATATAGTTGACGTATATTTGACATCTGTTCTTCTGCAAAAACATTAAGAGGATAGCATTGCCGAAGAGATGACATTAAAGTACTTAAGACGAATATATATTTCGTCTTAACACCGTGCGAAGTGCGAGTGTGGCAACAGAGATGGGAGGATGGGAGAAAGACGTCCTCATTAATCCTTCCGGCTTTATCCGGTCGCGCTGGCACGTATCTTAAAGGTCCTCGCACAGGAGGTTGTGATAAATGTCATGCAAATGCGCGCCTCTTAACGAGCCCTAAGTTTTTGCCCGGCAGCATGAAAACTTTCGTACTGTTAAAGTTCATGTTCACAAAGGAGATACATCGCCCCCGCCCTTCTGTCTCGTCGTCATGCTTAAAAGAGCGTAATTGTTGCGCCGGCGTAACTTTTGGGCTCTCCTACATCGTCGGTGCGTGTTTCGTATCAAAGACCTCTCGCGTCCTATCTTGTTAAATTGTGAACCCGCAAACAACATACGTCAACAGAACGTTTCACACATAAGCATTTTATTTTGCAAAAGCTATGTCGGTGATTTGCACGCGACGCATTTGTTTATAAATAGCTGTATCATCTGACGCTGTGCCCCCGAGAAATTCATTAATCACCCGTACAAGTAAAATTAGTGATAAATAAAATAAGTTTAATTAAGCAGAACTGATCTATGATGGACAATGAAATTAATTAAACTCTGAATAAATTTAGTCTGACTAAATTAGACAAAATCAATTCAATTCTATCAAATGAATAGCAATAATAATTTATCAATAGGAATGGATAATTATAGTAGCATATAAAATTTTTTAAATCTTCTCTTTAATTCATTGAAATATTTGATATTAAGACATCTTAAAATAATTTATATTAAAATTAAATTATCGATATTTCAAATTGTTATAAAAGTACAAATATGATGAGAATCTCAATCATTTTCGAGGAATTTTAAATAAAAACTACAGAAATAAATTTTCTTTATATAGAGTCCTTGGTATGTAATTCATTTCGCAAGTAATTTCCGTCGACGAATACAACGTTAATTTTCGTATTAGACATGAGCCATGAATCATGCTCATCTGCTATTTGGAATGTGTTCAAATCGAATATGTGCTCTAAGCACACATCAATAGCGCCTTATCTCTCAAAAACTCTGTTTTTACTACTCTGATCTTCGCGATCTTCGTTTATTTATACGCTTTCGCATAATTTTACATTTTCAATATGATATCATGAACGAGAGAAAAGTTTCGTCTTTGTCATTTTATCTTTTTATCATTTTCTTTCGATGTTAATTAAAGGATCAACTTCGTTAAGAAAGTCCGCAGACGTATGACGAAGCGTAAAGTTTTCGCTCTTTTTCTAATTATCGCGTGAGGTAGCCCAGAGATAATTACAAGTTTCTAATGCAAACACGAGCAGATCGTTATTTATACAGCAATAGAGAGAAAAAAAGCTAACTAAATGAAAAAAGGATCAAAGAAAGAAAATACGAGGCTAGATATTGTTACCTAATATTTCTATGTAAATTTTAAATCTTTTAGTTATAAAAAAATCTGCGAACACAATTACTGTCGGACTTGAAATACAATCACGAAACTGAAGGTAAAATAATATCACAAACTAATCGATTTGCTATATATTAGTATCTAAAAACACTATAAAAAAACTTACTGAAGAAATATTATCTCAGCCAAGATTCAAACCAGAAATCTTCTGACTATTCAAGGCGAATGTCTTTTCCAATTTGATTTAATTGAGAAAAATTTTTAAAAATTTATCAAGAAAATCCTAAAATCGTTACTAATCAAAAGCAATATATCTTCAGCAGGAAATCTTTTTGTTGATAACACAGAATTATAAATTCTTTTCAGAATCCAAATATAAATATGCAATAACGAACATATGGAGCCAAACGATTTGATATGAAAAAGAAAAAAACTTAGAAAATTACAATTTTTTTATTAACTTCTGGCTCTTAACAACGTTTGCTTTACATAAAAGTTTTATACTTTGTACGTATAAAACAATTTTGACTCCGTGTAGGGATCACAAAAAAGAACAATACTGTGCTAAAATGAGTCTAAAAACTTTAGTATGAAAGAAAATTTCGTGTGTATGTATGCATGCAATATTGACGTAGTAATATGTAGTAATATATCAATGTTTCGTAAATCATATGTACGTAAATTGATAAAACGGTGATTTCGTCGGTGTCTGAACTTTATTTTAGGATATTCTTAAGAGCAAGAGCACATAATAGACAAAGCATTGGACAACTCTTGTGTCATTTATGGAAAAATACAATTAAAATTGTATCATATGCCATTACATACATTGCCAAGACTTTCATAAATAACACAACAGTTGTCCGACACTTTGTCTATTGTATGCTCTTGCTCTATATCAAATGAGACGTCACGCTCCGCGTAAAAGTGGAATGGACTCTTATTTGAGCTTTCAAAGTACTAGATTCCTAAAGTCCCACATATTTTCTCTTGAGTTTTTCATAATTTTTTAATAATTTGCAAATCTTTCGAAATTTATCTGATACAGTAATTCTGCGTAAAGCACAATTATAATTTCTATTATATACAGCTTTAAGAATAAAAAATATGAATAATTTCAAAAGAAAATATATAGGATTAACTTTGGGATTGAATCTGGAATTTCTATTTTCATTTTTACACAACTTTAAATATTAAAACTTTAACTAAATAGATATAGAATGGTACTTTTACATCTCTCGCTATAAAATATACATTTTATATTTCAACCATATTGTTATAGATTTTAATTTATTAATTTTAATTTTAATTCTTCTTTTTATGAAATTGTTTAATTTTATTCTTAATTTCAACAGTAAAACTTTTTACATATACAAGTCCATTTTCCTTAAAATATGGTGAACTTCTACTTGTTCATACTTTTCTCTCCTTCTTGTTTTCTCTTTTCAGAAGAAGGCAACAACAGGATCGAGGATACACTTGCTTTACTACATCATCCTCTTTGATGCCATTCTTTAGACTTTGAATGTCGTAAGAAGAGCGAGCAAGAGTGAGAGAGAAACAGGGGAAACACTAAGAGAGCAACATCGCGAAAAAAAGTATCTTTCAAAGCTGATACTCGCTCCTTCCTACACATAAGAGCGGAATGTTTTGCCATTCCGCGCATTTACTCGAACACGCGTATCGAATACTCCGCGTTCTACGATACAAGAAGCAATCCTCTAAGCGAAGCTGTCGAGAAGGTTTTAAATCACGTACAATATCCTGCAAAACTTCCTTCACTCAAGTATCCTTCATGATTTCTTTCGCGACCAAAATCTCAGCAAATAAAACCTTTATTCACACTAGTTCTTTCACAATAATATCAATCCATTTCTATGTTTGGATAAAATGGATTTTCATTAATTTTACATAAAAGCAATATTCTATTTTTGTAGCCAGTAAAGCAGATTGATAAAAACCAAATTATAAGCTATTTGAAAACAATGAGATATAACTATTCTAAATACATTTTCATTGAACAAATCTAATCTAATTCTAAGCAATGAGATTTTTTCTTCACCATTCCCTAAAATGTTCAGTATTCCCTTTAGTATTTCAAAATATAATATTAATTACAAGACTGTAATTATAAAAGTAATTTTTTTATATGACTATATTATTTTGTAATTATATGACTGTTATATGTGTGATATTTCTAATATATATATATATATATTTCTTTTCAGATCATCGATAATAGGAACAAAAGTAATCGGAAACGTCAACAACCAAGTGAGAGAATATACAGAATTCATAAAAAAAACGCTATGAAATTTACGAAGTCAACTAATCATCGAAATTACATATTTCGATCTAACGGTACAGCTCGGCAACTAATTCGTCAACGTCATTTTTCAACGTCAACGTCATTTTTCTTCAAACTTTAACGCATTTTTCAAGGACCAACGAATCTTCACGCAACGGAGACATTACGCATCATCATAGATAATCGCTTCATAACAACTGCGAGGCATACATATCGCAACTGTTCATCGTTCTCGCGAGAGCAGTTTTTGCGCAAGTACACGGACGCGTCCCACCGGATAGGAAAGAGACTAGATACTGCGATAGAAACTAGAAGTTCAAGCTGCAACTTTAAGTCCCTTGTGAATAATCGCTGGCGATTTCCTAGAGGCGAAAATCTCTACATTCATAACGGCGCGTGGTGGTTGACCGATGACTGCCGCAGCCGGCCAAAGATTGCAGAAAATCCGCCCAAGCGACGAGATAAATTCTCTCGCGTGTGCCTCGTGGACGTGCAAAACAAATTAAAAGAAAGGGGTATAGAAAGAACGAGAAAGAGAAAGAGAGAGAGAAAAATAAAAAAATACAAGAACAGCGCTTAAAAGTACGAGAGGTGGTCGCCTGAGCACGCTGATAAACGCTGAGTAATGGGGACGCAAATTACGTGCGAGGAATACTACGTGAGAAATGATTGCCCGATGCAAATTCTGCTGGCCGCTAGGACGATGCAGCGACCGATACTGCCGGATACTGTAAGTCTGTCTAAACGATTCACCACGACCACGTGGACCAAGGATAGGCCCACGAAGCAAACCGGCCGTCCATCGTCTCCGTGATGATCCGAGAGGATGTACGTAATCCCAGGAGGAATTAACCAATTAGTACTGGCGATAGAGGATTTGCGCTAAGTTAATACAACGATGAGTATCAATACAACGGAGATCACGGATAGATTACGTTACTCGCCAACAACGATAGCTCTCAACTCTGTCCTCGTTATGGACCAAGATACATAATCCGCAAGGTACTACATCGCGTTATAGCATTCATGAAGCATATACGAAATTTTAGACGGATTACTCCTTAGCAAGCTCAATGGCTTTTAACCTTGGTTTCACGATGCAACAGCGCAGCGATATTAAGTCTGTATAGACTACATGATATCACGAGTCAGTGTGTACAAACTTTGCAGTACTACAAACCAGTACGTATAGTCTTCACAATAAGGAGTGACTCGGCAAGTAAAGTGTCTGTTCGGTCTCTCCGGCATCAATTACACCTCACTTCCCGGATTTGTTCCCGGGATTGACGCAGGCAGACTCTTCGCCGACGAAGTGACTGTGCGATTATTCGAGGAAACATACGTTCGGCTTTAAACGGAGGAAGTGGCTTCGCGATCCGCGTTGCTCTCGAGATCCAGCGTATCGGCGCGAGTGCGCACCTTTAATCGTTATAGTGCGGAGTTATCATAAGACTAATTATATAAATATATGTATAATATAAAAACTAATTTCCCGTTATTGTATAAGTTAATATAAGGCTCAGATATACTTGCTAAATGGCTATAAGTGATTTTTCAATGAAGATAAGGTCAAGCGGAAGAGAGAATTCAGTATCAATTCTTATACCATAATAAAGACTCTTAGATGATATAATTTTGCGGACTATGCAAATATTAATACAAAAATTCCTATCATTAAACGACAGAAAGTGATTACGTGTGTTCAATATGATAAGATCCACGATGGAATAAGCAAACTACAGAAATTGCGAACGCTTCGAAGTGAGATGTTTTATGGTATAATACATATAAAGAATAAAGATAAATAAAACGAACGATCGGATTTGCCAACACGATAAAAAGAACGTCGAGTGGTTAAATCATAGCTGCACTTGCCAAGTCCGACAGACGTGAAACCTTTATACTCGAAACTTTCTTCGAGTAACGCCGAAGATCAAACGGAGGATCAAATAGTTACGAGGAACAAGAGTATATCTCGCGAAAGTTTCTCGAGAGCAGGGAGGGAACAAGGAAGAGTCGCGTGGTGTTCTCCTCTCAAGAGGCCGCGCGCATGGCACAGCCGATCATTGCGGACAATCGGTCACTCGTCGCGATTCGCTCTTTGTGATACACCACGTAACACCGCTCGCGGAGAAGGAAAAAGACAAGTGGCGGAAAAGGAACAAGATGATGGCGGGAACGGGGGTGGGTGGTGTCGGCGGTGTAGGGATGCTGAGAACCAGGCGGCGGGACGTCAGCGTCAAGCCAAATAGAAAACTCGACCGGAAGTCCTCGAGGGGGATGATTTACGAGAACGAGGAGCTCAGACTGAGGACCATTCACATCAATGCCGAGGTGGAGCAAGGTAAAGGGAGAGGGACTCAAGGGGAAGCACGCGGCAGCTCACGCGGATTTGTCGGTGAATCGAAGGTGAAGGTAATCGCGACTGTGTCGTTTCGAAAGGACAATGTCGCGATTACTTTTCCTTTCGGTCGACTTGATCGACTTGATCGACTTGATCCCAGTTAATAAAACGTTCGCCATGGACAAGCGGGATAAAATGATTTTCAATATACAAAGAGATACAAAAAATTGTCTCAAACTTTTCTCTTGTCTCTTTCGACGAAAAAAATATGTTGAATTTAGTGACTAGACATTCTATTATGAAACATAAAGTTAGATAAATGAGGCTATTATTTGAATTTTTTACATCTTGTTAGTATAACGCTGTTACTTTATTCAGCTTATTTATTACTTACACCGTTTTATTTTTTTTCCCTCTCGTCCAGAATGTTTTAAGCGAATTTTATTAACGCAGTTGCTCTGAACGCTACTGTTTGAATTATTAATTTTCCGTTATAGACGATTCACACTCGGGGGCCAAATTAATTTCGCAGGGACTTCCATTACGCGTTAGTGGCAGGCCAGACCAACTAATAATGTTAAATATTTGATCCTCTAGGGTATGACTGCGCCAAAGCAATCAAGGATTAATTTAACTACCGTGCTAAAGGAATTTTTGATATGTAATGGAAAAGCAAGAGTTTCAAACTTTTGATATTCGATTAAAGTTAACAAATATCGCGATAAGAAAGAAGCTAATATCTTAATGACATACAGAATGTTTTATTACGATACATTCATGGCAAAAAAAAAGTTAATCCTAAATCAGAAAATATGTCATCAGAAATTTAATTAAACCACCCTTTCGTACAAATTATTACTTTCTCTCTTTTCTCTCTCTTTTCTTCCCCTGGCAAATATACACTATGGAATTAATTATTTGAGTATTTTTGTGCTTTACTAACAGATGTTTTAATAAACTCGTTTGGCGCAATTGTGCTCTCTCTCTGAAATTGGGGGACGTTTTATATATAAATGAATACCATTAATTTCGCGAATCTCGCTACCATCGCTTTAATTATGAATTCGTCATTACGAGTGATACCAAACAAAAGGTCATATTATATTTTGTACGTGATAACCACGGGGAATTTTATTACGCGACTGTGGTAGATCTGGTAAACTGCATCGCGCCGCGGTCATCTACAAATAGACACGTGCATACATCAGATTGAAGTCGCCGTACGAACTTACTGCGAACTATTTTCGAGGCCTGGCCTGCACACACGCTGAATTTGTCCAGTCGGGTAAGCGAGTAGTACAGTTTCTAGTACCGGCGGTCACGATCCAGCAGACTTGACTCAGTTGCTAAATGCGCCCGAGATGACGCAAAACGCATTCGCGTTCCAATTTCTAAAGAAACGTTCATTTTGACATCAATTTAATCTACGATCAAAAAAGTAGTGAAGTTGATATCAAGAGAAAGAGGAGAACTTTACCAGTGATTTCTTGTAACTAAATGTGAACAACGACGGATCCACGCGACTGATTAAGTTAATCAGTAAATTTATAAGCTGTGGAAATTAAAAATTACGAGTCAAATAATAATTAAGAAAAAAGAACTGAGTCGTTTGAAGGTGAAATTATTGAATTATTGAGAGGATTCTAACATGGAAAAGCTCGCAAGAGGCTGTCATTGAAATCGACTGCTTAATTAATCATATTTCTTCGATGCTTGAATAACAAAATGGTGGGTATATGCATATGTAACCATATAGCTTTTTATCAGGTATTATGTTTTAATTAAACTTCAAGAATGAAATTGAACGGATATGCCGATATCGCAAGTGAGTACGTTATTAATACAAAAAGCTTGAATGACGGCACATGAATCGCGCGTCTACATAATTTTCTTGAGATTTATTTACCCGCGGAGCCAAGAAAAGCTTTGTTTTGGCAAATATTCCGGGATGGCGGTTTGTTCTCTTAGAACTCAGGATCCAGATGTCGACGCTGTACAGATTCCAAAAAGCTAAACGCTAACTTCTTATCCTACGTAATACCGTTGAGACGTCAAACCAAATCTCGACTTTAGTCTTCCATCGATGGAGCAATCAGTGACTTGAATATTTTGAACTGCTTCAAGTATTAATAAACGCGAGAATAAACGTTTGAGTTAAGCCATAAATAAATAAGCATGATAAATGTATTTTGGGCAATGGCGCATAAATTTCGACATATTTAATACTATCAAATAATAATCAAAATAATTTTATAGCTTTTCTCAGCTATTATTTCCACGAATAATTAATAATTAATATAATGATATTTAATATAAAATTATATAGATAATTAATATAAAAAGATAGATAATTAATATAAAAAATTCATAATTTTTTAATTAATATAGCAATAAAATTGCAAGTATTCATGACACATTATATTATATATATTTAAAAAATACGTTTAAACAATTTTAAAAATTTTATTATTTATTTAAAGCCAAGAGCTAACTACAAATTGTATATATTATATAATTACGTTTTTGTAATTAGAAAATTGAAAATTAGGAATACTTTAGGATCACCCAGTACATATAAATACAAAAAGTATGCCTCTCGTCGAATCAAGATAGCGTCTCACGAATTTTTTTGTTCCTTCTGACATATTATGCAGCCGGATTATCATGGTGCATTCAAGTGGCGTGCGAAGAAAATCCTTCATGATTAGAAAAACTGACAGCACGCCGAGAGGGTTCAAAGTGAGTCGTTCTAGGATCAATCTACCGGTTACTTGTAGACCCTTTCTTTTCTACTTCCGTCTCATGCTTGCTCAGTGAGAAAACCAGACACTACCTACGTCAAGCTTGAAGATTATTTTAAGTCCTTTTTCAACCTCTTGATAGATTATATCGCCACGTGAAGAAATGGCGCCAGTCTAATGAACAATTTATCATCGGTCAGGTTTGCACCGACACCGAATTTCTTCAATATCAAAAATATCGCGCCACTGTCGGATTTCAAACTGATGATATTAAACATAAGAACTGGCAGTGTCACTTTTCATGACAAACGATATTAATAGTGGAAAATAAATTGTCGAAGAAAATGGACGAAGCCAAAAATCCGTTTGAGAACGTAATCGCTAAAAGAATCTGTGTTTGACATCCGTATAGATTAAACGATATCATGTTTTAACGTCTATATATATATATAGTATATATATATATAGTGCAGTTTTACAATGAATGACAACGTATAAACTTAAATAATATACGGACTTGTCAGGGAAAGAGATCTTTTTTTCGGTCAGAACTATAGCTTTTACATAACATCGCGGTCAAGGCGAATAATAAAATAGCAAAATTTATAAGATCGTCCCTCGACGACGTTTCTAAAATAACATCAAAAGACATAATGATCAGTGCTGGAATACTCGAGTATCGCCTAATATTATTAGATGAAATAGAAATTATTATATCTGAAAATTTGATACAAATATTACAAATTTATATATACATTCCGTAAATTTTCGAAAAATTAAAAAATATTTCTCTTTCTTTCGTTAATAATTGGCATCTTTTATCAGTCAATTTCTACATACTCTATTTCGACAGAATTTATAGCTAAAAAATAATCTTAAGTCTTTGATAGTATAAAACCATGCTTTATATATTTCCATATAAAACATTTCAATAAAAACAACAAAATTTATCACTTAAACATTTTGCGCAATTTAAAAATAATACTTTATTAATAGTATTTTTATTTCTTTTATCAATCAAGAATTCTGTATTTTGAGAAAAAAATGTATCGTTGCTCTGGCGCGGCGATACAGTCCTGACATCGTGGGACTACGAGGGACTACAAAAGATTTAAATAGTCGCGAGGGCGAGAGGGAGATAGAGAGAGACATGAGGCGGTGGTTTCGTGACGCGCGATGAAGAAGCGGACGAAGAAGAGGTAACTCGCGGTAGGGATGAAGACTGCCACAGTGATGTAGCCACGCGTCGACTAGTTTCACCCGGTGACTCTAAACGGCCGGCACGCTTTTCACGACCTGAAGCTGTCAAACTCTCGGAGTACGATTCCGGAAGTGAGACCAGACCGAAATCAATTCGGTGCACCGTTGTTCGTTATTGTTCGGGACCTCGAATGTAATATGTCGGGCCTTGGCGTCGCGACGTCGCCACGCCGAGACGCACATCTGGCAGAGAAGCGCATCTCGATGTTACGTAACAAGAAAGAGAAAGACGTCGAAATAGAGAATGAACTGTGATCAGAAATTTACAAAGCTCAAACGAAGTGCGCGGCAAATTCACGCGAAGAAATATCAGGACGAGTAAAAAAATTTGAGAAAAAAATGTGCAAATTCTGGTTGTACTAATAAAACGTATGACCGACCAATTTGGCGAAGAGCTTCATTGCGACTGTCAGTAGCGGTATTCTATATTAAACCGACATTCGCAGATATCCTACTTAAAATTAATAATTGAAATCGCGAAAGTTCTTTATTAAAATTTTATTAAATTTTATTAAATAGATATATATATACTGCAATTAAAGTTAAAAGTATGATCTCAATCATCTCAAATATAATACCATCAATTTGCCATTTCTTCAAACGACATCGAAAAACAAAACGTCATTCGCATAGTAGGGAACATCACAGCTGTTCATGGCAAGTACGTTGTCATGAAAAGCACTCGGTCTGATGAAGAAGAAAAGAGCAATGAATGTTGTTGCACGATGTCGATGTAGTTAACTGACAGGACAGTCATGAAAATAAGGACCGGCTACTTTAAAAAGCGATTGTTTCCATTCGTAAGTCTTTCCTAGAATAAACTCGTGAGGGATGACGTTCAAACGTTCAGACATTAGCCAGCAACGGCTATTTGTTGATGAAACGCTGATGGATTATTTAATGACTCGATCGATGAAATGACCCCCCATCAATCGAGCGCGCATGACTGCATTAGAGAGACGGTACGCATTCGTAGGTAATGCGAATTCGCTGTTGATC